TACAGTGTCTCAAAGTGAATGGTATACTCACAGTTCAGGTCTGAAAAGACCTCCCCTTCCACTGACAACCCTACCTGGATATTCAGGAAAATTGGTTTGAGGCACTGGCCCCAGATCTCAAGTGGGAAATCTGTCTTCCAAAGCGTGCACACACACAATCATTAGGGAGTGTACCTGGTGTCTTCTTTTGTCTTCCGTTTATCCCTGTTCTCTCAAAGCAGTCAGGTAACACTCTGTATCCTGATTAGCCCAAGACCCAGCCAGTATACATGACTAGTCCCAACACATTGTCAAACTGAGAGTGAACTCTTATAAACCCGAAGAGTTTCTGAAAGACTACATGCTAATCCAAGGTTAATGAGACATCCTTAATCTATTTTTAGGATCCAGTCCTTACCTGGAGTCATTGGTTTGCTTACAGCTGTTGGAGGGTCGTAGAATTGTTTGAGCAGAGAGTGAAGGGTAACTGGGAATCTTGCCCTTGCAACACTGTTCATCTGTCTTGGATAATTACCAGCTTATTTCCTTGTTTTGTTATTCAAAATAGTATTTATACTATGCATGTCTATAATGTATAATATTTACACATTAGCATCATCATCATCCATGAATTTGCCTGCACCACGAGGATGAGTTTTACCTGAGGGATGGCTCCTTCACACATAGGAAATGTGTATTTATTCAGAAAATGACTTGGATACAGTAGAATACCCCTTGGGTAACAAGGGACTTGAGCCAGGTTATTGCTTCCCCATTTTATAATGCATCCTGGTAATGCATTCTAAACGTCTGGCTGGAGGACGTCTCCTTTTCCTCAGGACCTGGCAGCTCCACGGCTCTGTTTTCACCCTCGTCCTGAGCATCTCTAAATTTCCCTATTTGTCGGTTGCTACAATGCAGGCTAGAACATTTTCATTAAAGGAAGCATTATGTAAAATAAACCTGCATTTTCCTTTCCATGTATGTTTCATTGAAATCACTTGCAGATTTCAGAGGGAACATTATTCAGTATGAATCACACAGGGATAAAGAAGAGGATATATGGTCAAAAGCAACCTCTTCTGAATAACATGTTACATCAGATCTACAAACTGTTACCCCAACTTCCACATGACTTGCATGTTGCGGCTTTACCCTTCTTTGTTCATGGCAAATCAGGAAAAAAAAGCAAATGGTTACATTGATTTAAAAAAACCAATGTGAATAATCAGATGCATGGTAAAGCATAAGAATGTGTGTCTTCACTGATACAGTGAAGACATGCCGCATCTGTCTGAGGAGGGCAGATGAAATGTGGAGCTTCTTCTTGTTGTTGTTCAGTTCCTCAGTCGTGTCTGTCTGTACCCCATGGACTGCAGCACACCAGGCTTCCCTGTCCTTTACCATTTCCTGGACTTCGCTCAAACTCATGTCCACTGAGTCAGTGATGCCATCCAACCATCTCCTCTTCTCTTGTCCCCTTCCCCTCCTGCCTTCAATCTTTTCCAGCATCAGGGTCTTTTCCAGTGAATCAGCTTTTCACATCAGGTGGCCAAAGTATTGCAGCTTCAGCTTCAGCATCAGTCCTTCCAGTGAATATTCAGGGTTGGTTTCCTTTAGGATTGACTGGTGTGATCTCCTTGCAGTCCACGGGACTCTCAGGAGTCTTCAACACCACAGTTCAAAAGCATCAATTCTTCGGCACTCTTCCTTCTTTATGTCTAGCTCTCACATTTATACATGACTACTGGAAAGACCGTAGCCTTGACTATATGGAACTTTGTTGACAGTGCTGTCTTTGCTATTTAAAACACTTGTTTAGGTTTATCATAGCTTCCTGCCAAGAAAGAGTCATCTTCTAATTTCATGGCTATAGTCACCATCTGCAGTGATTTTAGAGTCAAAGAAAAGGAAATTTGTCATTGATTGCACCTTTTCCCCTCTCTTTGCTATAAAGTGATGGGACTAGATACCATGATCTTAGGTGGGTTTTATTTTTTTTAATATTGAGTTTTAAGCCGGCTTTTTCACTTTCCTCCTTCACCTGCATCAAGAGGCTGTTTAGCTCCTCTTCAATTTCTGCTTTTAGAGTGGTATCATCCACTATCTGAGAGTTTTTATATTTCTCCCTGCAATCTTGATTCCAGCTTGTGCTTCATCTAGTCCAGCATTTCACATGATGTACTCTATATTTAAGTTAAATAAGCTGGGTGACAATACACACCCTTGATGCACTCCTTACCCAGTTTTGAACCAATCCATTGTTCCATGTCCAGTTCTGTTGCTTTTTGACCTGCATACAGGTTTCTCAGGAGACAGATAAAATGGCCTGGTATTTCCATCTCTCCAAGAGTTTTCCAAAGTTTGTTATGATCCACACAAAGGCTTTAGCATAGTCAATGAAACAGAGGTAGATGTTTTTTTGGAATTCCCTTGCTTTCTCTGTAATATAGCAAATGTTGGCATTTTGATCTCTGGTTCTTCTACCTTTTCTAAACCCATCTGGAACATGTGGAAGTTCTTGGTTCACATAATGCTGAAGCCTAGCTTGGAGGATTTTTAGCATAATCTTACTAGCATGGGAGGTGAGTGCATTTGTCTGGTGGTTTGAACATTCTTTAGTACTGCCCTTGTTGGGAATCGGGATGAGGATTGACCTTTTCCAGTCCTGTGGCCACTGCTGGGTCCTCCAAATTTCCTGACATACTGAGTGGAGCACTTTTGTAGATTCATCTTTTAGGATTTTAAATAACTCGGCTGAGATTCCATCACCTTCACTACCTTTATTGGCAACAGTGCTTCCTAAGGCCCACACTTCACACTCCAGAATGTCTGGCTCTGAGTGAGAGACAACACTATCGTGGTTATCTGGGTCATTAAGATCTTCGTTGTACAGTTCTTCTGTGCATTCTTTCCACCTCTTCTCGATCTCTTCTGCTTCTATTAGGTCTTTACTATTTCTGTCCTTTATTGTGCCCGATGAAATGTTCCTTTGATATTTCCAACTTTCTAGAAGAGATCTCTAATCTTACCCTTTCTCTTGTTTTCCTTTTTTTTTTGGCATTGTTCATTGAACATGGCCTTCTTGTCTCTCCTTGTTATTCTCTGGATTTAGTTGGGTATACCTTCCCCTTTCTCCCTTGCGTTCACTTATCTCCTTTTCTCTGCTGTTTGTAAAGCCTCCTCAGACAACCACTTTGCCTTCTTGCATTTCTTTTTTGGTGGATGGTTTTATCCACTGCCTCCTGTACAGTATTACAGGCCTCTGGAGGAGGGAATGGCAAACCACTCCAGTATGTTAGCTGTGAGAACCGCATGAACTGTATAAAAAGGCAAAAAGATATGACACCGAAAGATGAGCCTCCAGGTCAGAAGGTGAAGGGGGGAAGAGCAGAGAACATCTACTAGCAGCTCCAGAAAGAATGAAGCAGCCAGGTCAAAGCAGAAACAATGCTCAGTTGTGGATACGTCTGGTGATGAAAGCAAAATCTGATGCTGTAAACAACAGTATTGCATAGGAACCTAGAATGTTAGGTCCATGAATCAAGGTAAATTGGACATGGTCAAGCAGGAGATGGCAAGAGTAAACATGGGCATCTTAGGAATCAGTGAACCAAAATGGATGAAAATGGGTGAATTTAATTCAGATGACTATTATATCTACTAGTGTGGGCAAGAACCCTGTAGAAGAAATGAATAGTCTTCATAATCAACAGAAGAGTGCAAAATGCTATACTTGGGTGCAGTTTTAAAAATGACAGAATGATCTTGGTTCATTTCCCAAGGCAAACCATTCAACATCACAATAATCCAAGTCTATGCCCCAACCACTGATGCCAAAGAAGCTGAAATTGATCAGTTTTTATGAAGACCTAGAAAACCTCCTAAAACTAATACGAGAAAATGATTTTCTATTCATCATAGGGGATTAGAATGCAAAAGTAGGAAGCCAAGAGATACCTGGAGTAACAGGCATTTTTGACCTTAGGGTACAAAATGAAGCAGGGCAAAGGCTAACAGAATTCTGCCAAAAGAATGCACTGGTCATAGCAAACACCCTTTTTCAACAACACAGGAGACAGCTTTACACATGGACATCACCAAATGATCAATACTGAAATCAGATTGATTACATTCTTTGTAGCTGAAAATGGAGAACCTGTCAGCAAAAACAGGACCTGGAGCTGACTGTGGCTCAGACCATCTGCTCCTCATATCTAAATTCAGACTTAAACTAAAGAAAGTGGTGAAAACCACTCGGCCAGTCAGGTATAGCTTAAATCAAATCCTCTATGTTATGCAGTGGAGATGATGAACAGATTCAAGGGATTGGATCTTGTAAACAGAGTGCCTGAGGAGCAATGGACAGAGTCCATAATATTGTACAGGAGGCAAGGAATAAAACCACCCCAAAGTAAAAAAAGAAAAGGAACTTCTCACCATGCCTGGAAAAAGAGAGTAGCTCAAACCGTAATGATCAAAGCCAATACTTCGGTTAAATATGTGACGATCAGACAAGCTGAGGGGATCTGTAAACCGAAACAAGTATCATTAGTGTCTTCTTTTTTGTGGAAATATAACTGACTTACAGTATGGCACTTGCTTCAGTGTACAGCAAAGTGATTCTGTTAAATATGTGTATATTTCCAGGTTATTTTCTATCATAGGTTATTATAAGTCACTGCATATAGTTCCCTGTGCTGTACAGTAGTATATCAGTATATCATTGTTGTCTGTTTGTTTTGTATGTGAATGTGTATCTGCTCATCTCAAACTCCTGATTTATCCCTCCCTGCTTCCCTTTCCACTTTGGGAAACTTAAATCTATTCTCTGTATCTGTGAGTCAGTTTCTGTTTTGTAATTAGATTCATTTATATTATGTTTTAGATTGCATATATAAGTGATATCATATCTATCCTTCTCGGACTTACAGCACTTAGTGTGATATTCTTATGATTTTATAATGAGAGAAACGAGCACATCCCTGATATTAAAGCCCAGCCTGCATCCCTTCCCACAGGTACCACGGTGCCAGCACTGCTCAATAGCACATCCAACCAGCTCTACCTGCACTTCCAGTCGGACATCAGCGTGGCCGCTGCTGGCTTCCACCTGGAGTACAAAAGTAAGCTCCCCTGTCTCTGCATCTTGGCTTTCCCTGTGACACTGAGTGATTTTCTTAAAGAGAAAATGGATCCCTGCCCTTATTACACGGTGAAATTTTGTTCTAAAGTTATGTTTAGAAGTTCCATGTAGTTGGGTGTTACAAAACCAATCTCTATGAACTATATTGTTATTACATAAATATTAATATAATATTTTGTTACATAATTATATCACAATACTATAACAATATATTGTTATTGGGGCTGTATCTTATTATATTATATTGTATAACATAATTATATTGTGAAAGACAAATTTATAGGGAAATGAAGAAGTTAGGATCTGGAATAATTAGATAAAACATTGGCTTTGCTTTCAGGCTGTTTGTGTTGAAAAGAAAAATAGTACAAAATACCCGTTTGTAATATTGCTAATTTTTCTTGTGAGTGGTAGAAAATACTCAGATAAGGATCCAAAAATGTAGAAGTCATAATTTCCAAATAGATTATGGTCATAAGCTCTTTCTGTTTCTAGTCTCAGAGGCTGTTAGAAAGAGAGCAGCAGAGAGCAGCCCCTTCAGTGCCTACATTTGTGTATTATTCATTTTAATTGGAAGAAGGTAACTCAAAGGAGATGTTAACCTTTTAAAAAATGGATGTGAGACTGAGTTAATAGTCTGATAAATGGGATGACAAAGGTCAGATTCACAAATCCACTTTGGCGTTTGATTATGCAGGTAAACCTTGTAAAAGCAAAATCAGAATTTCCAATGAGAGTGAAGTTTAGCTTAGGACATATTTTCAAGCACTAAAAATGCTTAATGTTGATATTCATCTCATTTAATAAGCAGTTGCAAATAAGCAAATACATGGATAAGCTTTAATAAGTGATCCTTTGAATTGAGATAAACAGTTTGTTGGGATGTAAATGCACGCATGTATTTGAATGGCCAGATTTCCAGCTGATGATAAATATTCTGAGCCAGACACAAACCACAGGGCTGTTTTGCATTCCGGTTGAATTTCCTTATTTATTACCGGCATTTGTATGCAAGTTTATTCCAATTTATTTGAATGGGATTGCATTAGTGACTGCGTAAAATGATACTGTGGATGTTATTTATGTAGAATATGTCTGGAAAAATCACTACTTTGATACATATGGTGAACATCTGTAGATAGGAAACTATAAACCTTATTTATGATAGTGTCAGTAAATTCACTAATATTTTTAGCAGCATTAGATTTGATCAATGTGCCCATCTCTTCCTCTCAAAGTGATCTTGTGGCTTCTGACTCTTCATTCACTTCTTATAGAAAGAGGTGCTACTGAAATAATTAGTCTACAATTACCGTGAAATATTACCCATGACTCACACAGACCTCAGCTCCAACAATATATTAATAGTAATCACCTGCATTTCATTTTGTTCTCAGCCAATTAAATTCATTAAAAGAAAGATGAACATATTGCTTACTGAAATTAATCTTATTCAAGGATCTAAGGCCTTGTTTCATTACTTAATCTATTTGTTTTTTTACTTGGCCACATAGAATGCTATGTTTTCATCTGTGAGTTTCTTTATTGAATCATTGTTTTTGGACACTAATAGTATTCTGAGGATCATGCCATTATCTTCTGTGTGTTTAAGAGGTAGTTATTTCTCTGTTCTAACTCTGTGTGTCAGTTTAAAATTTGGATTATACAAAGTGTTTGTAGAGTTAATCTTATTAAGGTGAACACCAAACAATGTAAGGATTGTTGAAGTAAGTTGTCAAAAATTGTCTAATATTCATAACCTTCTAACATGTTTTTTTTTTTTTACTCTCTGGCCCTTTCTTTTTCATTTTTTTTTTTTAAATTTTAAACTGGAGTATATAGCTGATTAGCAAAGCTATGATAGTTTTAGGTGGACAGCAAAGGGACCTAGCCATATATATCCGCTAACATATTTTTACATCTACCTTAAATTGTGTATTTCCAGTCTGCACACCTTTCAATTCAGATTTTTCACTAAAATATATACCCATGAAATAAGAGTAAAAACAGCAACAAGCTCTGTGCCTTGTCCTGCCATAAACATGTTACAGCTATTTATTCAACTGTCCTCAAAACAACTTCATTTTTGAGGTATGCTTAGGTTTTAAAAGGGCTTCTCTGACTTAGATGGTAAAGAATCTGCCTGCAATGCAGGAGACTTGAGTTAGGAAGGCCCCCTGGAGAAGGGCATGGCTACTCACCCCAGTATTTTTGCCTGGGAAATCCCATGGACAGAGGAGCCTGGTGGGCAAGAGCCCATGGGGTCTTTAAGAGTCAGTCATGACTGAGCGCGGAGAAGGCAATGGCAAGCCACTCCAGTACTCTTGCCTGGAAAATCCCATGGACGGAGGAGCCTGGTGGGCTGCAGTCCATGGGGCCACTACGAGTCGGACACGACTGAGCGACTTCACTTTCACTTTTCACTTTCATGCATTGGAGAAGGAAAAGGGAAAAACCCACTCCAGTGTTCTTGCCTGGAGAATCCCAGGGACATGGGAGCCTGGTGGGCTGCTGTCTATGGGGTCGCACAGAGCCAGACACGGCTGAAGCGACTTAGCAGCAGCAGGGCTGAGCGACTAACACCAGGCCTTGAAGGAGAAGAAACAGAGCCCCTCGTGCGTCCAGCCTGCTCAGGTCAGAGTCAGACTGCTGACAGCTTACAGAGTGAGCACGTGTAGACACAGATGTGTTTCATCACAAATGAGCACCTGCCCAGGAATCACAACTGTCCAATCAGAACGAGTGCACAGACTGCCCTTCTGTGCTAAGGGAGCCACCACCTGTCGCTAGGAGCTGAATGGTGTGTGGAAGAGAAAGGGGCTTGGGACTCAGTCTTGGAGACGCGGTTGGTCCGATCCTAAAACCTGAGCTGTTACAGCAAGTCCACCCCTGCTTCCATCTGAGAAGTCTTGAGTTTCTCACATGAAAGGGAAGGCCAGTCGCTGTTAATTAGGTGCATATGTGCTTGTCACTTTAGTCATGTCGACTCTTTGAAACCCTATGAACTATAGCCCTCCAGGCTCTTCCATGGGATTCTCCAGGCAAGAATCATGGAGTGGGTTGCCATTTCCTTCTCTGGGGCATCTTCCCAACCCACAGATTGAACCCAAGTCTCCTGCAGCTCCTTCAGTGCAGGTGGATTCTTTACCACTGAGTCAACAGAGAAGCCCCCTGTTAATCATAACAGTCCATAATTCCAAATGAACACTGATGGGAATATTTCAAACAAAAAGCAAACACTTTTATTTGCAATTTGGTGGGAAGAGGACAAATAAGATTAAACACCCAAACCCTGATGGAGTGTTGCTATTGATACTATTTGTATTTTATTGATTTTTTCCCTCTTTTTCTGATAGCTTTTGGTTTAATGGAATCTTTTATTTAAGTTCCAATTTATCTCCACTATGGTCTTATTAAAGAAGAGTCTTAAAAATGTCAAGGATCTCTCTAGACAAGTTTAAAATATGTTCTTTAATATAACACATCTTACGTTGCTGCTATTGCTGCTAAGTCGCTTCAGTCGTGTCTGACTCTGTGCGACCCGATGGACTGCAGCCCACCAGGCTCCTCTGTCCATGGGATTTTCCAGGCAAGAGTACTGAAGTGGGTGGCCATTGCCTTCTCCACATCTTACCTTCAAATAATGCTATTTCACTTTGTGTCTAGTGAAACTTACAAACTTGTACTTCTAATTTCTTCTATCCATCCTTCATGTTATTGTGGTTTTACATTTTATTTTCGAGTATCATAAAGCCTGCAAATATTTTTATACTTTTTTGCTTTAAATATTGGTCCTTCATAGTGAAGAAAATAAGAAAATAAATGTTTTATATTTACCTTATTTTTAGCATCTATGGAGCTCTTTATTTCTTTGGGTGAATCCAAGTTTCCGTTTAATTTTTTTCTGTCTAAAGAACTTCCTTCAATTCTTCTGATAGGGCAGGTCTGCTGACAATGAATTTTCCCAGTTATTGTTTTTCTGAAAAAGCACCATTTTGCCTTCATTTTTTGAAAGATGTTTTGGCTGGGTTTGGAAATCTGGGTCAGAAGTTCTTTTTCAGTATGTTAAAAAAAAAAATAGGGCTTCCCTGGTGGCTAAGTGGTAAAGAATCTGCCTACCAGTGCAAGAGACAAAGGTTCAATCCCTGCATCAGGAAGATCCCTTGAAGGAGAAAATAACAACCCACTCCAGTATTCTTGTGGGGAAAATCCCATGGACAGGGGAGCCTGGGGGGCTGCAGTCCACAGGGTCACAAAGAGTCAGACACGACTGAGCACATGGCCCACACACACACATAAAATGTGCCCCTTCACTGTCATTGCTCAGTTTGTGATGAGAAGTAAGCTGTAATTCTTCTGGCTGTGTATTTGTCCATTTTCTGGCTTCCTTTACAAGTCTCTCTTTATCTTTTATTTTCATCAGCTAGACTATGGTGTGTCTAGGTGTGTGTGTGCGCATGCACATGTGCGTGCACACTTGATATTCATCCTGTTCAGTGACTCTCACATTCTTGGATCTAAGGTTTAATGTCTTCCATTATAATATTTATGAAAATGTCTTGACCCTTATCATTACAAATAGTTCTTTCCCCCGTTGTCTTTTCCTGTTTTGGGGGGAGACTCCATTCACATGTCTATTGGACATGTTGACATTGTATCACAATTCTTGGATGCAGTTGTGTTTTATTCACACTCTATGTGTTCCAGTTTTTGTAGTTACTATTAACCTTTGATTCTCTGAGCCTTTCCTTGGCTATGTTAAGTCTGCTAATGAGCCCACTGAAATAATTCTTCATCTCAGATATTGTGTTTTCCCCCTTGAATTTCCACTTGCCAGTTTCTTATAATTAGTCTCTCTGCCATAATTTCTCCATCTCTTCATGAACACTATCTTGTCCACTAGATGTTTTAACATATTTTTATATTTGATATATCTCTCCAATATTCCACTATATGACTGTGCAAAGTCTGACTGCTTTA